AACTATAATAGCAGCAGAATTTAATAATTTTTTTATTTTTATTATATTTTGAGTTGGTTAATTAGCCGACTTGCGGTGTACCGACGGGACTCAAAAACCGAGTCGATCATTACCGAAAAATACTTTTATGAAAGTACAGGAAGCGGAGTATGCGTTGGTGGCATCGATTTATGATTTTGAGGTCCCGACCATTTATTTTAGGCAGCCCGAAGTTGAGAGAAAGATGGCAGTGGCGGTGATTTTATTGTCATTTTCATGTGTAGACTTCGGGTAACCGTCGGCCCTCGTTAGGCGTGCCTAATTTTAGCGGGAGTGCTTTCTTCGAAGCACGAGAACAGTAGAAGCCGTTTGAAAAATTTATTTCACGTTTCAAAGTTTCGAGCATTTATTTTGAGAAGCTCGAAGTCGAGTGCGCATAATAGAAGAATAAAAAGTCGTTTTGCGGGGTTCCGTAAGGTTGCGTGTGACCTCAGTTTAACGAGAATCGAGTTGGAGTGTGTAGACAATTCAAGCACGATTCCATACGGACAAATTTCGCATTTTTCAGAGTTTCGAGCATTTATTATGGGAGTTTGAAATTTCTGCGTTAAATAGTATCAAAAGGAGCAAATTTGTCGAGGACGAGTTCGATCATTCGAGGCTTCGTTTTCTCAAATTTTTCAGCTTTTCGTCTATTCCAAAGGAGGTATAATTCTTGATTATTATTATAATAGAGTCCGAGATTCTTATTAGTATAAATTCGAGTATTTTTCGAGTTTCAGTTTAAGTATACCAGTTTAATTCCGGACTTAGTTTGATTTTTAGAAAAATCTCTAGAGTATTCCTTTATATCATGCGAAATTTTTTGAGATCGTCCACAAAAGCCCTTTGAGCGTCCTTCCAATGCCGAAGTGGGGGTGGCGCGCCGCGGGATGGCCGGAGTGGGGGTGGTGCGCCGCGGCAAATTGGGCCCTCCCCGGGATGACCGGCTGGTTTCGCCACTGCCAACAACCAGCCATAGTGGCACCGACCGCCGACAATGGCGTGGAGGGTCGGGCAGCGCACGACATGAGACCGACGATGGTTTCGAACGTAGGTAGATCTTTAATTATGAGCATACATATCCAAAGATTTCCAAAACCTAATTTGATGTGTCTGAACAGATAAAACAAAATCAATTTGAATTTACATTTTTAGTTTTAAAATTATAATCGGAACAATTTTAATTATAAAATTAAACCAAAACATAAAATAACACATTATTATAGTCCATGATATATAGATCTATATCCACTATTGAAAATTTGACGTACGAACTCAATGCTCGCACAATGGATTAAAGTCTTCTTCCTAACAACAAAGATCTAACTACAACTATTTGATTTGATACAGTCCGTTGTCCCATGAATAATAAAACTAAACATTGACCTTCGAATCCTTTGTTCTCAATTGCGGTTTCCACATAATTCAATCCTTTCTTGTCTGATCCAACTCCAATGAATCCGATCTGAACCCTCAAATTTAAAAAGTCGAAGAGTGTTTGTGTCTCGATATTGATCTCTTAATATAGAATAAAATATTTTGTCAATTCCCTTTTCAGCAATTATTATTATTAATATTATTCAGATTGCATGTTCCTCGTGTCCACGTTAAATAATTGTTAATTATAATTTTGTTTGTATTCCACCTAAATCCCATCTCCACAATATATTTTTGATATTTTCACTCGACTCGACGAGCTATATACATATTAGGGTCCTCTGTATCTATTCTCACTTCATTCATACACTATGAAAATGCCGTCGTTGAACTGTAAGACCGTGATGAATTTGTTGCCGGCGGCGCCCTCTTGTTCGTTTTCTACTTCTTCTTCTTCGTCTTCTTCTTCTTTCCCACTG